AAGATATTTAACTACTTATATAGTTACTTTCTGGCAGTGTGTACATCTACATGCTCTTGCGCTGCCATCTACAGGATGGATACCAAGTGTACTTCGGCAGACGAAGCTAATCTTATATAGGTTGATCTCTTCTTCTTATATCCACTTACACTTTCACAAGCTAACACACTGCAGTTAACCTTCCCCAACACTCCTTAAAAATTTAAAAAACTCCATTAACCTGCTTTATCGCTCAAGTTATTTTGTTTTTAATTAGCAATCGTTACTAGCCATGATAATGAAATATTAAAGGTGTTTCAGGCGAGAACTTTTTTAATTACGTATACTATAGATGTTAATTATGTGTGGGTTCGATACTGGTGCCGCATACTCCAATATGGGCCTAACGTACACAGTGTACAGGGTCCTGAACGATTCCTTATTAAGATCTCGGAATGCTGTTCTGAGGTTTGCTAGGCGCCCATATGCTGCAGTAGTTATTTGGTTGATGTGCGCCTCAGGAGATGTGCCTGGTGTTATATTCACCCTAAGATCCTTTTCCTTGATTGAGATTTGTAGTCTCTGGCCCCCCTAGACTCTACTCTTCTTTGACCTTCCCCAATCTTCATGACTTTCCACTTGGTGGGGTTGAACTCCAGGAGCCGGTTGCTGGACCAGGCCTGCAGCCTGTCCAGATCCCTTTGTAGTTCTGCCTGGTAGTCATCCGCGATTGGATTCTCCTCATCAACTTCACATCATCTGCAAATAGGGACACTTCTGAGTCTATTCCGTCATGTCGTTCACAAATACCAGAAACATCACCGGTCCTAGGACTAACCCCTGTGGGACCCTGCTCATCACAGGTGCCCACTATGACACATCGCCACGTACCATGACTAGCTGTTGTCTTCCTGACAGGTATTCCCTGATCCATTGCATTGCTTTCCCTGTTATCCCTGCCTGGTCCTCCAGCTTTTGCTCTAATCTTTTGTGTGGAACTGTGTAAAAACGCCTTCTTACATCCAAGGAAATCCAACTACCCACCCCCTTTTCTTCTTACGGTCACCCTGCCATAAAACTCCATAGGTTTGGACCACAGGTTGCCCACCTGAAGCCGGCTGTTGTCTTTGATAAGCTCTTTCCCTTTCATTAGGTGCTCCACACTCTTCTCCTGAAATCTTCTCCATGACTTTGCATACTATACATGTCAGTGACACTTGCGTAGTTTAATGTTTCGTGTCTGTCCCTTTTTTTTAAAAAAATTGGGACTCCATTTGCTGTCTTCCATACCTCAGGAGTCGCCCTGTTTCGAGAGATGTGTTGAAGATTGCTGTTAGGGGTACACATAGCACCTCTGCTCTCTCTGTCAGGACCAGGGAGAGAGGTTACCCGGCCCCACCCCTTTTGAGGTATCTACTCATTTAGCACCTCTTCATTTCTTTTTCGATTGTATGCATTGTGTCTAACACTTAAGGTACCCACTCTCCTTTTTTCTAAGTCCCTTCTGTCCCCCCTCGGAACACTTCTCTGAACCTCATGTTGAGTTCCTCACATACTTCGCGGTCGTTTCTTGTGGTCTCTCCTCCTTCCTTCCTCAGCCTGATTACCTGGTCCTTGACTTTGTTTTCCCCCTGATGTGGCGACAACAGCTTTTTAGTCAGATTTTGGGTTTTTTATCTATGTCTTTTCATAGTGCCCGGCCTCCCTTCTTACCTATTGCATATTTATTTCTGGCTCTACAATTTTTTTCCTTTTTCTTCTGAACTTCCATTCTCTAGCACACTTCTTTTTTTGGGCCCCTTTTCATCTTTTGGGGGAAACCCGGTCATCCTGGGTTCCTCGTTATTCCTGTTACCCTAGGGTACAAACCTCTCCTCAGCTTCCTTGCATATTGTTGTCACATATCCCATTATCTCATTTACTGACTTCCCTGCCAGTTCTCTGTCTCACTGAACCCCGTGTAGGAAATTTTTCATGCTTGTGTAGTCTCCTCTCTTATAGTTTGGCTTCATTCGTCCTGCCCTTCCTGCTTCCCTCTCCACTTGTAACTCTACTATGTATTCGAAGCTCAGAACCACATGATCACTGGCCCTAAGAGGTCTTTCATATGTGATGTCCTCAATATTTGCACTACTCAAGGTGAATACTAAGTCCAGTCTTGCTGGTTCATCCTCTCCTCTCTCTCTGGCAGTGTCTTTTACGTGCTGGTACGTGAGGTTTCCCAGTATTACCTCCATCATCTTAGCGTTCCACGTTTCTGGGTCCCCATGTGGCTCCAAGTTCTCCCAGTCAATTTCTTTGTGGTTGAAGTCACCCTCAATCAGTAGCTTTGCCCTTCTCACATGAGCTCTTCTGGCCACTTCAGCCAGTGTGTCAACCATCGCTCTGTTACTCTTATCATACTCTTGCCTTTGCCTCCTGCTGTTCTGTGGTGGGTTATACATCACTGCAATTACCACCTCGGGACCTCGAGACTGAAGTGTTCCTATTATGTAATCTCTTGCTTCTCCTCTGCGTCCTCTCTCTAGCTCGTCAAAATCCCAGTGGTTTTTGATGAACAGTGCCACTCCTCCACCCTCTCTGTTCCCTCTGTCTTTCCTCAGGATCTGATATCCTGTTAGATATATGGCATCTGTTATCATTCCTGTGAGCTTGGTTTCGGTGAGAGCTATGTTGTCTGGTGATGCCTCTTTGATTCTTTTGTGCCACTCCTCCAACTTATTCGTTATTCCATCAGCATTGGTGTACCATACCTTCAGTTTCCTCTCGAACACTGTGTTCTGGGGGTATGTGAGGGTGGGGGGAGCTGGTAGTGTGCTCTGGGATTCTACAGCATATTGTGGTGTGGGGCTTGTGTGTGTTGTGGGCTTGTGTTGGGATAG